TTTATATTGCTTGTAAGTTTGTGAAACTGTTGTATATAAAACATTGTTTGTAATAACTATTCGTAATAACTGTTATTGTCAATTGTATTGTTGTTTATATATCAAAACATATTTGTGTTAAAGAAGAAACGGTGTGTATCAATCTTGTTAGCAAATATCATAAACTGACTATATATCGGCATTTATTTAAACACTAAATCCAAAGTATAATTTAACTCAGTTTTAGGCTGTTAGAAATTGTGATGTGTAACATAATGAAAACAGTAAGTGTATATTCTCTTAACAGTTTCTTCCTGGTGGGACAGCGGTGAATGCACGATAAAATCCCAGGTTCGATTCCACGCAGTAGACACAGCTGATAGCCTAGTGTGGTTGTGCTCTAAAAACAAATACAAGAACAAACTTGACAATTTAAAGTTTTGGTTTGAATCCAATTGAATCCATCATGATCTTCCCTTCTTTTAAAAATAACCGGACCCTAAATAGGTCAATGTTAAATGGTAAGTAATATATCTGTTGGTACTGTGTAGTTCTTAATGGATGGACGTTCAATGTAGGCTATGTAGTAACATAAATATGTATACGTACAATGATAGTGAGGCCTCAAGTCCAAAACAATTTTTAATCAGGCCTCACTTGTAGTCCGTAAAAAACAATCTTGTATTAGTGAGAGAAGGAAGAAGGAGCTATCCCGCGTTACGTCATCGTATTTTCTACATACAACATAACTTCACATTACTGTATGATGTGCCATCTTTTCTACATAATATCACAACTTCACATCGTTGTATCTTATGCCACCTTCTTTCTTACATATGTCATAACTTCACTTCGTTATATCTTATGTTATCTTGTTTTTTGCATATATCGTAACTTCACATGGTTGTATCTCATAACATCTTCTTTCCTACATATGTCATAACTTCACTTCATTATATCTTATGTCATCTTGCCTTCAATATACATCATAAATTTACGTCATGTCTTATGTCATCTTATTTTTCGTTTTATCTTACATCATGTTGTTTTCTACATGTGCCACACCTTTACATCGTTGTTTTCTTAATATTTCATAGCTTTAGTGTGTTGTCTTTTGTTTAGAAGTTATCCACCAGATGCCGCAATCAACCAAGTATAAGAACTATGATTTTCTTCTTGCTTGTCGTAACAACTTAAAGACGTTAATAGAAACCAGTTTTTATCGTCTGTGTGACCACACAGTACATTGGACAACCACTTTTCTATAGTTAAATAAGTATACACCAAATCAAGTGACGTTTTATGTACATAAGCCATTATTCTTATTTTGTTTGTTTGGCGAATGCTACAGTGTCAAGATGGGAGAAACTATCACCACCTTTTTGTTATATATCAGGGCTTATCAATTTTTTCTGCCCCCCCCCGAAAATATTTTAGATTGTGACGATACACACACACAAAGTGAGAATCTAGCGACCCCCCCCCCATGGTCACACAATTAGGGTAAGGAAATAGACACC